TCCATGTATCAACATTGCCAAAATCCATTTGCGATAAAACAACGGCGAAAAAGCGTTGATCTTTCCCCAACACCATGTTTTTGGGCGTCAGAACAACTTCCCGCCATACATTTCCTTCTAGCGACTTGCAATGTTTGCCCCCTGACGATCCCAAAGTTCTTTGCGCAAACACGGGTATCCGATTACTGGCAACTCATTCATTTACGTTTTTTGGCCAGAAGAATTAAAAAAAAGCTCTATTGTGAAAAGAATAGCTGATTGACTACCAGGAAAGTCTCAAATTTGCATAATGTGCCACAGCAATTTGAAAATGAATGCTTCCTGCTACAACTGACAAGATTAGGTTTAATTCTTGCAAAATTTGAAACACTATTTAGATTAGTGATAAGTTAATAAAGATGGTGAATTTTACGCTCGGTAATGAAATGTGAAGGTGAATTAATCAACATGACACGAGCTTGGGATAAAGAAAAATTCTGAGTCCCCGACAGGAATAGAGCGCCCGGCCGGTGTTTGGGAGGTCATGGGTTCGATTCCAGTCGGGGATTCAGAATTTTTCTTTGTCCCACGCTCGTTTCATGTTGATTAATTCACCTTCACTATTTAGATTATTTTGGCGTCAGGTTTAAAACTCCTTACAATGTGTTCGAGGAAGAGATGCAGCTGTTAGGAATCAGTGAGATATTGAATTTTGCACAGATGTACATCTCATCGTGAGAGAGCCGTGCAGACTGTCAGTACCGAGCGAGGCAAAAATGCTGCAATAGCGATTTACAGTCAAGATATATTCAGTCACCTGTAAGCTGTCCTTTATTTTCTCTCCAGTAACAACCAAGAAGAAGAAATGATATAGTGCCAAGACGGTAAAGGATCAACAGCATTTTAAGCACGTACCTGAAAATTTAAAGACACCAAGCCCAGCATTTACAGCATTAATTATTAAGTATTTACAGAAAGCTGAGACTCGAGGAAGAAAAAGAGGAAAAAAATTTACTTGTGTTGAGAGACAGTTCTTCAATTTTTTGTGTTTACCTTCGATTCTCTTATGTGCTTTTGGCGGCAATCAGATCACCATGCAGCTGTTGATACACTGCTGAAAAAGTAATTAAAAAGTCTTTTTTTATAGCTATAGCTGGCTTGTTTATGTTAGGAAACACAAATAACTGATATTGAATATCGGAAATATACCATTACAAACTGTTCTCCCTGTTTCGTTAATATGTTATCGATAATTAGTTTTAACCAATTTCTGTTACTGAGATAGTTTTAGTCGGTTACCGATGCTCGGATTTAGGCCATGGGAAGTACCTTACTCCAATTTTCAAGTCTTCAAGTCTTTACGTCTTCACACTATAAATTGGTAATGTGAACTTATATATGGCTATGTCAGCACTTGCTTATAAATGTAGCCAAACGTACCTCTCAAGGTTTAACGTTGAGAATATCGTATCTCGACGCTTAAATCCACGCTTTTGAGACTGTGCAATGGTCAGCCACACTGAGCTTCAGATATTACTTTTTATATATTAAACCCTGTAGAATAAATTATTAGTCAAATTTGCAAACAGGTGTCGATATTGAATTTTAAAGCAGTAGTCTACAAATAAGAAGTATATTTAAAAAAAGAAAAACGGTACAATTTTTGCCCTCTGCTTCACCGACGTGTCGGATATAAAAAACTCTCTTCTCACTGATCTGAAACAGTTTGAAAACTTACCTCAATGGATGTTTTTGCTTTAACAACGCAACGCTTGAAGCTCGGATGATGAGGTATTCGATTTCAGGCAACAATCTGACAAAACTGTATAAATTGGTTTTTACTTACATCTACATTTTGACTCCCTGTTGAGGTTCAATGAAATAATTAGTGTCTTTGAAAGATATCAATAATCGGAACATCCGGAGTTACTTTTGACTACTACAAAAGCTTATTGATGTTGCTGAAATTAAAGTAGTTAAAAAGGAAACTTGTGTTGAATTAATAACATGCACAACAAACATTTCTTACTTGAAGGGAAAAAGGATCTATTTATACGCATTTGATTTTTATTCGCGAAAAAAAAAACCTTTCTTGCTAGGTTTTACTAGAATTAGGTCTTATTAACCGAGCTAGAAGTCTGTATGGGAGAATCTTGACCGAGTGAGGTCTGTACACACAACCGAGGTCAAGATTCTCACATACAGACCGGCTAAGCTCGGTTACTAAGATGTTCTTTCGTACGTCAAACAAGTAAAATTTAATAAATTTAATGCTGACTGGTTTGTAATAGCTGACATTTTGCTTGCGAACTGCGATGAGCTAAACGTAAATCTGCTCGCCCTCTTTACTTTTTTGTTATCTTCCATAATAAGAATATTTTCTGGAACTAATACTACTAGAAGAAAATATGCAATAGTTTTGCACTTAGTTTGCAACTTTTTTCATTGCAAAATGTAACCGGTCCACCGAGGTCTAGATGTCGGTCTAAATGAGAATAAATACCCCCTCTCACTATTTCATTTTTCTGACATTGACTTGTTAAAAGAGAAAATAGTAATATGGCAATAATCTCAATGTTTTTCAAAAGGAAAACTGAAGACAAAGAGTTAAATTAACTAAATCTAGTATATTAAATGGCATACTAACTTTTTCACGGTCGTCACCTGTTTGTTCTCCATACTTTCCGGACAAGATGCTTAAATTTGACTTTCTATTTATCCTTCTCTGGCGACATCTTTTATCATCTGCGGTTGACCATCAAATTAACTGGCCTGAGCAAGTCATACGTGCTTTTTCTAGCTCATTTCGATTTCCTCCAGCAATAGTTTTTGATGGGCGCGATTCTGTAATGCCGATTATCTGTGCAGTTTATTTATTGAAAGGTTCTTGAACTGCCTAAGGTAGACTGTTCGACGTACCGTCATCTTGCATATTCTGAGCACGCAGGGAAAGGCAA